AAGAAACAATCAATATCCAACACCGTATCAGAAGAAGGTAGAAGTAGAGAAAGTGAGGTTCAAATGAAGCAAACGGAGGGTGATTATTCATCCTTACATCAGGAAACTGATAATCATTATAATCGGATTGCAGAGAAAAATATGCCAAAATCAGAGGATATTGCAAAGAGGAAAGATTCCCAACCTAGCAAGGTTACTCATTCTGACAGCACGGAATTTAAAATTAGATTATGTAATGATCCAGCCCACCAATCCTCAAATGGCAGCACGCTATCGGATAAAAACTCATTATGCAAGGAGAAAGGTACAGATGGGAATTTGCTAAGTGAACATGATACACTCATGGTACTCCCGAATGATGCATATTCTGTAGAGAAAGCGAGGCCCACGCAAAGCCATAACATCATCAGTGGTTCAAGGGAGCCAAGCAAGTTTCTTAATATGCAGCATCAGAGTAGTGCTATATCATTGGCTTCTCAGGAGAGTCAGATAGAAGTGGCAAAACACGGATTTGAAATCACAAAGAGTGATAGTAGTAGCAGCATGACTAGCACTCGTATCAAATCCAAATTATCGAGGCGTGAACAATCTGATGATGATGAAGTTGATAGTTGTGCTTCTCGAACTGGATCAGAGTTCTCGGCACAGTCCCGTGACTTTGCTGTTCCACAACTCTCACAAGCAAGCAGCGGCATTTTCCAGTTCCTAAAACCAGAGCAGGATATTGCAGAAGTGCCAAAGATACGCGCCAACGTTGTGAGCTCTGACATTGGTCGTCAGTACGAAGCCCTTCTAAAGAGTGCTCTTGAAAAAGAGAGGGCTCGCAAGCATCTCACAGTGGCAGAGACATTACACCTTGCAATGGTAAAGCTGGAAACAATCGTAAAAGAACGACGCTTATGTAAGCACACTCAGCTCACAGACGGTGGACTCGCAAGAAATTCATGCAAGTTTTGTGACCCAAGGAGGAATATCTCAGGCATTGTCCATAAGAGATACTCTCTAAGACCAGAAGTAAGTCTGCAACCAAAGCAATTGACTGTATTGAAACAAGAGCAGAAAACGCATAAGAGTGTTGAAAGGACACGATCAGCACCTAACGAACTGTTTCAGAGGGCGCCTAGTCAGGAGCAAACACCTAAGAGAGGCTCAGAGGCCAGGGTAAACTCTGTGTCTTCAGACTTTAATGATGCTGTCATGAGTGTCACAGGGGACAATCTCCTCATCGATCTGGACAAGGTTTCTGAAGAACTACCTTCAGACATCTCCTTATCAGGAATGACAGTTGCAGATGTGAAGTCCATACAAGCCTTCCATGTTCTGCATGAGAGTGAGAGTCTCTCGCTCACTGAAGGAGATGATAAAGGGAAGAAAGAGAAAGAAAACCTTCCACAATCATCACTTCAGAGACGAAGAAGCCTTTTTGCCACAAATAGCAAGAGTGGTTCCAGGCTGTTGCTTGGTCATGGATCCTTCCGTCGAAGCAGCACTCACTCCACCAAGGAGAGTACTCAATCTAAAGATATCCTTGAACCACCAACATTTCATCCTTCTACAAAAATCAATAGTGAAGTAGTTGCTGTTTCAGCTGAAGCTGCACAAAAGCAGATTTCACAAAGTGTAAAAACTGAAATTGAAGCCCCATTTTTAAAAGATATTAAAGGCACAAAGCCAGGTTTATCATCAAGTCTTTCTTTAGATGACTCCAATCTTGTACACCTGCCATCTTGTACAGAGTTGGACAAAAGGGCAAAGAGTCTGCAGAACCTTCCTAATCTAAGCAGTAGTTGTTTCATCATTGTCAATCAGTGTAATTCTTCAAAATCCATGGAAGAAGGAAGCGCTGACAGCGATAGAACAGCATGTCCGAGTTTGAACAGCCATCCTTCACTCTGCAGGAGCGGTTCCTCCGATAAGTCACCAGAATCCTATGTGATGCCTACATCGTCACCGTACAAGAAGCTCACTGCGCAAAACTCAAAGAGATCTTCTTCACCGTTCTCTCCCACTTCTCTTCTATCTTCACCATGGTCGTCTATCATCAAGACCCCACCGATACCCCTGACTACCCGTGTCGGGGAGTCACCAGTACCTCCGCAGCAAATGAGACTCCTCAGTCAATCACCTACCATCAACCTGGCTCTATCAACCCCACCTGCTCCTCTGACGGTAGAACTTGGTACCCTTGACATTCAGCTCGACAACCCCGAAGAGACTCAGCCACCTGCTTGCCTCACCCCATCCAAATTCCGCTCTGAGGTGTTCCTCCAGCTGCCAGATCAAGCTGATACCTCTAGCCACTCAGTAAGCAGCGTGAGAAGCATCAGCCCGATATCAGTCAACCGCACTCCAATCTCATCCCTACCAAGACTGGAATACACGCCCTCATTTGATGAACTTTGTGACAAAGCTCAGACTATTATCACTGATTTAGAAGGCTTGGCAGAACCTGTAGAGCAGACTTTTGAGCAGGAGGTTCCAGAATGTACTTTTATACCAGTAAAGAAAGTAGATGATAACGTAGAGGATGGAGGCCAGCATGGAAGGAAAGAGACTAGCAGGTAATAAGATATATGTTGGTATAGCATGTCAGTGTTGGGTCAAAAATATTTTCTATTAGAAATGTGTACAGTCATGTCTATAAATTTCAGCACTAAGATTAGATAAGGCATAAAGATATGAGAGATTAATACATACAGACAGGAACAAAATAGAATCAGGATGTTAAGTGAAACAGAGCTACACAGTTGTACGTGTGATAATTGACATACTATTTGAATAACAAATCTTTGTATCATGTATCTGTTTAATTGAGCAAGTTCTTCCTTCTTACAGAATGTAACAAACACACAAATTCCTTTATTTTTTCAAAGTTGTAGACCCACATCTATGATGATAAAAATATCAGCTTCAAAATGTTTTAATTTTTCTTTCTCTTTCAGAATTGAATTATTTGTGTTACGATTTATTGACTTAAAAAAGAGAACCTGTATATAAACCTGAACAAAAAATTAAGACTATGTATGAAGAAGTTCTCTGAAGAAAGAAAAATTGACATTTATAATGGATGTGTGTGTTGATTTCAGCCACATGGATATGTTATGTGCAATCCACTGTGTATTCAAGTGAAGTTGTTACCATAGAAACCAATTTTCTCAGTCGCAAGATATATATCCTAGAAGTATTTATCTTGTTCGGTTTGGCAAATCGGAGAGTACAATTATTTCTTATTATGCATGAAAAAGAATTATGATTAAAAGGAGGATTGCATACATATACAGCATTAGTGGGATATTATACTTCTCTTCTTATTGGTACTGGGGATAAATAGTTGAAACTCAAAGATGTTTTTTTTTTATCTGTTTACTTTGCATGTGCATTTTTAATATGACAATTTCTTTCTTTCTTTATATGCGTTGTGTTTCTATATTGTTGTCTCCACTGCAAATGATTTGGTTGTTACATAAGGCACAATAATTATTCATGATTTTATATTACATATGCAGAATTACAAAGTATAGTTCCCCCTGGTGATCAGAATACCATGAAAAGTATGAGATACTTTATCCCTTTATTCGCCATGACTCTCTACCTCACATATTTTTGACGACGCAATTGAAATTGGGAAAAATTTGAAATCTTGAAATCAAAAGGATATGTGATACCAGCTATATGTTTTGAGCAACTTAATGAATATACCATGCAATCAGAAATATTTTGGATGCGGTATTGAAATAGAGGAGCTTTAGAACACATTCACTATCTATTCATTGCTTAAAAAATATGGAGGAAAGAAATTGTGGAAATGGTGGCACTGTGCACATGTTGTTTTTGGTGGCTAGTTGCACATTGCATGATGGGTGCTAATCTAAAGTAGATATGAAATGCATACATTGGTTTGAAATATTAATTTCTACAGATGTCACGTTTTTTGACTGATGATGGAGCTCATTCCAAATTCAATCACTATTCAAGTCCACCCCTCGTATCATTTGAATCGGGGATCTTTATCATGTCTCTGTCATTTTGATAAACCTAGACATGACCTATGTCGTTGCATTTTAGAGATGATATAATCAGTGTCAGACAAAAGGAAGTCAGCATGATCAAACCCTGGATTTTTCTTTTGTGTGCAGTAGATGAGAAAACTTAGACCAAGATATCACAGTAACAATCACACTTCATACTTCATCATCCAAAAGAGGATATTACCCAAGTCACCAAGCCTTTTCTAGTCAGATAAGACCTTTCATTTGTCACACCTCCTCTGTCTGCTATTGATTCTTAGCCTGCAATCTAAAGCTGGGTCATCTAGAGACTGTAGACACAAGGTTTGTGAGAGCTTTTGATTGCTATGAATAATAAGAGTCAGCGGTATATCGCCGACTGCAGCGAGGGATTATCATTAGCAATCCAAACATCTTGGTGAGTGCTTTTATGCCACAGATAAAGAGTTGGCGGTGTAGGAGCGGAAATTTTGGCATCAATAGCATACTGTATAAGGCCAAGGTCTATTATCCCCTCCATTGCTATGCATGATGCTTTTAAGGAACGTATAGCTGTACTGAATGGATTGAGATGTGCCACTGCATTTTCCATTTACCGTACGATCATCCTGTCAACTGCTAGCATTCTGTGAAGGTACACCATACAGCCATGCTTCAAACGAGTGAAGCACAGTTATGCACATATCTTTAAAGATGTTGTAGTTGTATCGTTTTCATCGTTGACTGTAAACGTGAAAATTGTGTGTTTGAGCCCCGGATCAGCACTGATGTCATTTGGCAGGGCAGTTCATCTACCATTGCTATCATCCACCCAGGTGTAGCTAAAAAGGTACCTGGTAGGAACAAATTGTCTTGCATGCTGAGAGCACTGCACCTCGTAGCATAGCTAACGCCAGTGTCTTTGGCCAGTGTAATAAGGAAGCACCTTGAGCACTGTGGGATAATGATTATCTTGGTGTTTCATTCCACAATATCAGAAGATTTTGCCCTGCACTCACCAGTCTCTATCATTTTTTCACAGTGCCAAGCCAAGTTCTACTCAAGGTGCTCAGCACAGAGAGGGGAACATTCACCAGTCTGAGGGACACGAGCCTAGGTTACAATCTTCATCTCATGAGCATCCTGGTTTGAGAAGTGTTGGCCAGCCTCAGATGACGTCCACACCCCAACCTAGTCACAGCGGCGGCGGGGCGGGGTACATGGATCCACAGAGGCAAGCTGAGCAGCAAGCAAGGTTACAACACATGGTATGTTGATCTTGTTCTTATGCGATGATTGTGGTAATGGTGGTGGTGGTGATGGTGGTGGTGGTGGTGGTGGTGGTGGTGGTGGTGGTGCATGGTGGTGGTGGTGGTGATGATGGTGATGATGATGATGACGATATTGAGGGTGATGTCTGATGATAATGACTGTCATCATAATGATGTTGCAAATGATGATGAAGATGGTGGTGGTGGTGATGGTGGTAGTGATGTGGTAGTGGTGGTAGTGATGATGATGGTGAAGATGGTGGTTATGGTATGGGTGGTGATAATGATAACAAAATCTTAAAATATCAATAGTTTGTATTCTTTACATTACATTAGGAGTACACATAATAGCAACATTTATAAACCAAGGATATATGGCGTTCTTTTTAAGATAATCACGTTCAAAACACATTTTAGACCTATCCTTTGCAGTATTCAAGATTGTTATGAAAAAGAAAAAGAATAATAAAGCACTTATAAAACCTTTTATAATCATGGTAATGTATCCATGATTATATATTTCATATAGGTAGATGTATAAAAACCAAACTTAATTTGATTTAATAAAAGGTATTCATTTCCATTGTGCTTATCCGTCCTTTGCAAATCTGCTGCACGATTGGAATGGGTGTGATTACATCCTGATATATTTTGTTACACCTGAAGCTCATTCCTTTGCTCTTCTCAAGCAGTTAACTCTGATTGATGTTGGCAGGTGACTGGTCACTAATTTGATATTAACAATTTAATGACTGGCCACTAAGTTGATATTAACAATTTATTGAAAATATTATTCTGGTTTTCACTATTCATCGGCAAGGGCATTTGAATATCATATCTGGGCCTCGTCTTACAAAGACTTGCGATTGATCCAAATCAATCGCAAGTCCTCCAATCAATCGCAAGTTTGCAGTCTCCTATCTCTTATGTATACATTGATGCGATTGATGATATCAACTCTTTGTAAGACAGGGCCCTGATGTAGTTGATGGATGTCATTAGAAACTGATAAGAAGAGGTATTTTTACATTAGTGAAAAAAGTTGTATTTTTGTGTTTCACAGTTTGTTTTTATACTGTTCTTGTAGCCGCAGTCCTCCTCCACTCTCTCTCTCTCTCTGCTCTTTCTCTCTCTGCCTCACTCTCCCCTCTTTCTCTCTCATTCTCTCTCTCTCCCAATGGCTTTCTCTTGCTCCCCCTCTCTTTCTGTCTGTTTGTCTGTCTGTCTGTCTCTGTCTGTCTGTCTCTGTCTGTCTGTCTCTCTCTCTCTCTCTTTTATCACAATTCTTTCTTTTTATCTTACTCTGATCCTGACATCTTCTATTTCCTGTGCTGACCTATCTCTTTGAAGAACAGGTATTCTGGAAAATTTAGTTTTACTTTTCACAACTAAAAAGCAAGATTGTGGATGTCTTCCTTGTTCATTGGTATTTAAGAGGGGCATTATTTGTTGTCTTCATATCATCCTGCACTTTTAATTTATTTGTAATCACCCTCTTTATCAACATGCCACCTCCAGTTCATGATGAATATTCCTGAGTCCCATTATTTCTTTGCTAGATACAATCAGAGAACAGTCTTCGTACCAGCCTGGACGGAATGCAAGCCAGTTTGAAAGAGCTCAAAAACAGGAAACAGGTAGGAATTTCTCCTGTAGCTTTCTTGTTGTTTGTAAGTCCTCCTCCACTTCCTTAGATTTTTCGGTTTAAATTCAGAACTCTTTTCTCCCCCCACCCTCTCTCTCTCCCCCTCTCTCCCACTCTCTCTCTCTCTTTATCTCTATCTCTCTCTCTATCTCTATCTCTCTCTATCTCTCTCTCTCTTGCTCCCCTCTTTCTTTTATATTTTCTCCTTGTTGTTGTTGTGTGTGTTTTTTTTTATGTCACTAACCAAATTCTTAACTAGCACTGTGCATAACCCTTAACCTAACCATTGTAACCCTATCATATTACAGATAAAGCCTGTTACGCAAACATATCCTTGCCATCTGTGTTAATATATATTTTCTGATGCATCATATTTTTCTGACTTTGCAACATAACCCATTATTTTCATTACCTCAAAGGTTTTCTTGGTAGGTTATTTTTGCATTTCTAAATTATCTCCTTCCTTCAAATGTATTTGAGCTTTTTGCTATTAACCAATTTCACTTTCCTGATAGTTTTACCACGGGCTATATGCTTTTTGTTCAGGAAAACAGTATAAATTGTCATAACAAACTGAGCTAGCACTTACCATTAGAAATTGTGCAGATGTTTGTTTAAACTTTGCACAAAGGCAGTCAGCTTTGTGCAAAAGCAGTGGTTTGTCCTAATTATGAGTTGCTTTGAAAATTAAAAACTGTTAACTTTCATTAGATAACATTGTTTTCAGAATACCACCACAGGGGAGTGTTTCACAAAAACTAAGATCAACTTTAAGTTGGACTTAAATATGGCAGACTGTTCATGCCACTGTTTATTCTCACCATTTACTGGCATTGGTCTATCAATGGACGTACAAATCATGGTCACAAATCTACAGAATTTACTTTTTTTTATAGTTCATTATTGAAGGAAAAAATATTATCTGAAGATCATAGTTGAGAAACCAATGGTGAGAGCAACTGGTGGCATGAATGGCCTGCCATAGTTAAGTCCAACTTAAAGTCGATCTTATTCTTTGTGAAACACCGCTCCCCCAGGTCTATGTTATCCATTATTTAAAAAGAATGCCTGCAAACATTCTTCACCTAACATCCGCTCTTGATATTTTGATGTGATAGGATGCGGTGGAGGAATTGAAGACACTCCATGAAGCAGTGAAGAGGAATAAGAGTGACATCCAGCAAGCAGAAGATATGGCTAGGATGAGCGTAGAGAAAGGAGATGGACTCAGGTGAGATAACATCCTTTATTGGTATAACAGGAGCTGTCAAACTCCTAAGTATATAAGCATTATTCAGACATATTAAAGGGCGATTCAGTGAAATGTGTCCTGTATGACATATGACATTTATCTGTTTATTCCATCCATGAGAAATATCCTGATATGACCATTAGTTCATGATTATCTGAATCTCTCTGGTGTCACCAACATTAGTAGAATGGTCAAATCACAAGATTATTCATTGAATTAAAGCACCCTTACTCAAGTGTGTGTAATAAGATACATAGATTCTTACAGGCTTTGCTTCTCTTGGGGTCCTTCCGATTTTGCTGTTAATTTGTTATGTATTTTACTTTTAATTTTAATGGAAAAATAAATGAAACTAATTTTTTTTTTAGATTAAGAACATTAGGCTTGAGTATGTCATTTTTGCTGTGGCCATGATTCATAAGCACATAAAACTTGATTCTACACTCAAATAGATCTTAAGAATATGGCTGCATAAAAGAGTGTATACACTCAACAATTTAACCTTTAAAAGTTTAAAAATAAATCCTTTGGAGGCACTCTAATTGTGCTTTTGACTGGTGCATTCGAGATGTCCATAAAACAAGATACATGGGAAGAGATTGTGTCAGCCTATGGCTATAAAATGAATAATTCCTTGTTTCATATAAGCATCTTACTTATGTAACAGGGTTTCTACTCAAGCAGATTATTGGGGTGTTATTAATCACATAATGGGAAGAGTTGGCCATTACAAAAAGATTTGCCTTCATGAATAAACATCTAACAAGTTTGCAAGGGCATGTATAAAAGGGATTTTGATATCACTGGCATATTTAGAGAGGAAGTACAACTACAATCTGTGCCTCCCTGAGCCCCCCCCCCCCCCTTCGCTCCCCCTCTAATTTAAAACCTAAATGACAATTCTTCAGGAAACAAGTCTCGAAATATGCCCCCCCCCTTTTTTTTTGTATATGATGAACAAATTTAGGATTCACTTCTGTCTTCTATTTGTGGCTGCTATTTGTATCCTTCCAATTCAAGTTGTTAAGGAGGCTAATTAATGAATCAAAGTAAAATATCCTTGCCCTTACCTTTCCATTGCACTTTGGATTTGAAATGTTTTAATTTTGTATTGTGGCCTCAAGCTGATATGGGGATGTGTATTATTACCAGGCATTACTATGCATTTGCATGTGTGTACAGGTAATTTATGGAGTAGGCTAAAAAATGATTTGATGACAATTAAGGTATGTTTCTTTTTAGTTTCTTGGTGCATCTGGTTGATCTCATAACAAATCAGAAAGCATGGAAAGCTTTGAGAGGACAAAATAGTTTGGGAAACTTGTCTTCCTAGAGAAGTATGTGTTTTCTTTTAAAAACAGTGTTTCCTCCTACGCAAATTCACATATAATTTTTTTTTTTTTTGGGGGGGGGATTATCATCATGGACAAAACTTCAGCTGTGAATTGTATGTCGTGAAACAATTCTTGTCTTAGAGTTGTTTATTGGTCACAGCTGAATCATTTTAAAATCTTCTCTAGACATGTAATTTCTCAAAAGTGCAGATTTTCCAGTACATGCATTTTGTGTTGTGTATTTGTGCTTTCATATAGGTGCATCAAAATGAGAAAAGGAAGGTAAATTAGTGAAATGCAGTAGCTTGTTGAGCTGTGGTTTAAGTGGCTTTTGAAGCTAGGACGTTTAACAAATGATTAAATGACAATCAGAGGTACAACTGCTGCATTTCATCAAAATGCAATTAGACTCTGTATAGGATTGGCATTGTCTGTGCTAGATTAATTATCCAGTTTGTCATTGACTGTTAATCATGAGATTTTCAATCTCTTTCCAATTTCCAATTTATTTTTAATGAGTATTTGTTGAAGCGTGGGAAAGGGGGGGGGGAGAAAAGAATTATTCATCAAAAGGAGTCATGATAATAGAAGTGTTTGAAATGCAAATGAAAAAATGAAATGAAATTGGTTTTATTGAGATGTTACAACATCATGTATCTAAAGGTTGACATGTATATCATACACAGGTGACATTTTGATGGTTGAGGCAATTACATTCGCGTGAGGAATACACATGGTCTTCTCACTTTGTTGAGTTGGTGTTAGCCGATAGACGATTACTGTTGATTTTGGGGGAAAATGAGATGTGGCATTTGAAAATGACATCTTGTTTCCAGTCGCATGAGCTTGCATGCATGTCAGGGATGGCTCAATGAGGGCATAATGAGCTGGTTATTGCATGTTGGTTGTTGTCAATACTCCTCAACGTCTGTTTCATATAATGTAACTGTTTTCTCAACGATTAGTCATTGTATTGTTTGAAATAATGATCTTCCATGTATGTTTACTAGATTCTTATACAAAACATGATGCTATTCTAGATTTACATGTATACAGTGTTTCATAGTTCTCTAATGGTTTGAAGCACATATGGTTTGAAGCACATACTTTACAGATCTATAATTATGTGATCATTGGATTCAATGTATGCGCATTCTCCACTCGATCCCTAGGGTGCATTCCTGCTAACATATCAATGTCATTTTATTTGCTTCGTTTATTTGTTCTTTGCTGATGCTTAATTAAAAATGTGCTAGTAACTTTATACTAATTCACAATATGTATGTTAGATTTTATGCCTCTTCAATAAAGGAGAGACCATTAGGGGACATTTCAATCATTTTTGTTCTTCTTCTAGTGTTGATACAGTTTCCTTTCATCCCACACATAGATTTGCTTGTAGTATGTTTTTGTATGTGTTTATTGTTTAATTTTTGAAAAATTATTGTATTTTGATATTGTAATTTTAAGCAGGGGGTGATCCCGATAAACCTCTGTGGTTTTTGATCACCCCCTCTGCAGGTTCATCTTTTGTTTTAATGCTTTTATATTTGATTGTAATTTATATTGTCTTTTATGAATCTGTGGAAATAAATGAAATTGAATTTATAAGGGTATGCCAGTCAACCTATCGTATATCATCATGTTTTTTAAAATCATTTTAATTGATAGAAAGGGGTAGAAATGACATGATTTTGTTTTCCTTCTCCATGGTTAGATCTGAGCTGATGGTGCTAGAATACCAGCGAGACCAAGCCAGGAGGGAGCTGAAGGATCTAGAGGAGGGCATCGGCACTGCAAGGAGAAATCCTCCAGACGATGGAGCCAGCAGTCGTCTCGCTCAGATTGGGCTATCAGCAGAAGAGGTATAACAGAGGAGTTGATGGGCTCTGATTTTTCTTTTGATATGTAACATTTTGAGACAACATGCCAGATTTGAGATTCTGTGGATATAGTTTATTTGGAAGTTGTTTATTTGGTTCATCTGTTTCCATGCAAATTGACTCTCTTTAGTTCAGTTCATTTGTGGTAGAAAGTATTTAGATATTTTAGATAGGAATTCATTTTAAAGCTTTGTTTACTAAGAGCAATCTCCTTTATATTCTATTAAAAAAAAAGACCAAATTATTTGATAATTACAAGTCTCAGTATGAATGTTTTTTTTTATTGTCTGCCGAGAGCCAGAAGGACATTAACTCTGTGTTAAATCATTTGAATTATTGTCTTTCCGGCTCTTAAATTAGGATAGTTGTGCTTTATAAATTACAAGAGATCAGCCCTCATGGTAGTGAAAAAGAATGACTAGTGTAGTATTCAGTTTCAGTCTTCATTTTCAATTTCTCCATACCCCTCCTCCTCCCTTAGATCCTTGGAGTGATCCGTGAGAGAGATGAGCTCCAGGTGGCACTGGAGACGGAGCGAGGGAGCCACATCTCTAAGGAGGAGCGTGACGAGGTAGTGAGCCAGCTGGATCAGACCAGGCAGGAGCTGTTTGAGAGCCAGAAGTCATCCAGAGCCAAGGTGGAGAAATTGCAAGAAGTAAGTGGTGAAAGGCTGCTCAGAAAATGCATCAAATGAATACATTTCAGATCATGCAGTATGCCCACATAATCAAATTATGATAACTATAACTTTCTTGTAATTTTTCCTTTGCAAGTGATGCGACGTATCCAATGGAATCAGCAACAAGTGCTTGTTAGCTTGAATCTGTGAGGTGGGATCTGCAGCATTGATATCTAGTGCCTTTTCTACTTAAAGTAGGACTGCACTACTTGTAGCTACTTGCACCCTCTATATAGCAAACAATGCCTGTTCCTGTTGGTCGCCCATGATCCCCTTTTCTTATGTTTGAGAGCTGACTTGATGAGATAACCACTTGTCAGTGACCATGCAGGGAGTTCTAATCCCTCCTAGGCAAACCAATGCAGACAGGCTTTGAATTACAGAAGATAAATTGGGCACTGATTGCAATGACAAATCGACAACTCACCATGCACGGACTCATGAATATATTAACTTTGTTTTCATCATTGTTCAGGATCTTGAGGAAGGAAGAGGGAAGATTGAGAGTTTGAAGCTGATAGAGTCGGACCTCAAGAAGGAGCTATCTGAAGCCCAGGAAGCCTTGAAGAACTCAGAGAATGATCACCACAAGCAGCTATTGGTAATAATTAGATTATATTAAAGCCCCACTGCACTATTAAAGCTACTTGCGCCCTCTATAGCAAACAATGACTAATCAGTGACCATTTGTCCCCCATGATCCTCTTTTTCTTATGTTAATTGAGAGCTGAATTGATGATATAACCACCTGTCAGTGACCATGCAGGGAGGTCTAATCCTCCTGGCCAAACTAGTGCAGTGGGGCTTAAACATTTAGAATGAACATCAAAACAAACTATTCGAAACTTCATTTACACTGATTACAAGAAGCTGTAGTTATTGTTCACTGAAAGGGTGTTGTCTGGTCTCATTTCTGAATGCAAAGAACTTGACCAAATATCTGCTTGCATTGTAATGTTTTGTGTCATATTTGAAAAGTATGTAATAACTATTTTTTTTAAAGGGCTTATTGTTTCATTTACTGATCTTACACTTTAGAGAGTGAGTTTTTAAGTTTCTGTCTTTTTTCTCTCAGAACAGTTAGGATGTATTTATTCTTTGACGTTATATTCCTCTTAAGACCTCGTGCAAGTAGCATGAGCAATAGACTTCAAGACAATATGGTTATGATATATTTATCAAATTATCAAACCCTAGGAGAAAACTACCATGATGGAAGAGATGCAAGGGAAAGCAACCACAGAGTGTGTTGACCTGCGTCACAAGCTCTCTGAATCGACACGGCGCATCACAACCTTGGAGAGTGCCCTCTTGGACAAGGATGTGGTGACGACACGCATGCAGGATCGTATCAGAGGACAGGGACAGGAGGTGCTAGAGCTAACTAATAAGGTTAGTAGAATTTCATTATCTATATTCTGTCCTTATTAATCCATCAACTCTGGGCATCATGTGGTCCCCATAAAAAAAAACATGGAGATTAGGTAATGTAGAAGTCAATGGGTTAAATCATATGGGCAACATTCCTTGAAAGCTCTAATAGTATCCTTGCAATGCATTTGATGACGGAGATGATGATGATGAAGATGATGGAGATGAAGATGATGGAGATGATTGTGATGATGATGATGATGATGACAATGAGATGATGTTAATAATGAGGAAGATGAAGATGATAATGATGATGGAAATAATGGCAATAATGATGATGATGATGACGGAGATGATGAAGATGTTGGAGATAATGATGATGATGGTGAAGATGATGATGATAAAGATTATGATTATGATGGAGATGGTAATGAGGTAGATGAAGATGATGATGTTGATGATGATTATGATGATGAAAATGATAATTTTGATGATAGTTATAATGAGGATGGTTATGGTGATAATAATATTTTTAGTTCAATATTTTTCCATAATAAATGAATATTATCAATCAATTTACAGGTTGACGAGCTAGAAAAGGAGAGGGAGATGCGAGCCAGGAAGGCAGAGACGGTCAAGGAGGTGGCCCTGGTGGAGCTAAGGGGAAAGCTTCTGAAGGAGAAGGATGAAGAACTGGATCAGGTGAGTGAATGAATGAATACAGAGAATAATCAGTTTTAGATACCTGTTATCCAAGAGGCATAACTCATTTGGGACAAACTTGATAAGCACTTTTTAGTTGCAAGGAAGAGCTTTGAAACAAATATTTATGAATGGAATTGGATCAGACAAAGGATAAATAAAGCAATATGCCTATATAGTGGCCTACCACTAGGTGAATCTGAAACGAATCAAACATTTTAATATAGATATATGCTGAGTTAGAGTGGAGAAGGAGCTTCAGGTAAATTGTTGAAAAGTTACCAGTATCAAATGTATGCAATTAAGAGAGCAATATTAACGTACAGTAAAATTGAACTCTCTCACCTCTCTTTTCATTTTGTCCTTTTTTTCCATTACATGTGGCGGGTATCTCTCTTTTATAATGTATTTCATTCTGGCCATGTTTATCACTCTCATTTTTTTATCTTTTTCCATATAGCAAAAGAAGACACTGGAGAAGACACACCAAGAAGTATTAACCAAACAACAGACACAGGCCACTCAAAGACAAACTCAACTTGAAAAGGAAAATGAGGTCAGTAACAGATAGTAGTCTTATATAAATAGAATAAAATATTTGTTATTAGTTGGTGAGAGTTTTTTCTTTTGGAATTAAATACATGCATATATTTTGTATACCATAGGTGTGTAGCCAGTCTTGATCTCAGATTTTCATGTCTAAGCTGTCATAACCCAGAAACTTATAGGTAATACATGTACTAAATGGATTCTAAATGGATTCTTAATGGATGCAATCCAAAGTTGTCATCCTTGTCTCGGCTTCAACTCAATTACTGTAACGAGATAACATTTTATAAGCTTAGTTTATGGAGCAAATATATGTTGATCACAGCTGTCTCAATCTCATAAGTTACCAAGTATTCATGGAATGCATTTATACAGATGTCAAGAGCTCATTAATGTCTCCTTTTTAAGTAGAGTAAAAACAATTAGTTCATCTCATAGCATATTGAGGGAGATAGTTGTGACACACACACACACACATGTTCGGCTCAAAGGTCAATACATGGAGCTCCAAATCCCTCCTTTCAACATACAATGTCTAAGGGAGGGAACTATTGGGGACACCAAAAATTTGACCATGAAAGAGAACAGCTTCCTGTGACATAACTATATCTCTACTAGCTATGGGTTAGCGTAATGGGATTGCAAGGAGTGCATGTGAAATTATGAAATAGCAATAAATGAAATGATAGTATGAATAATAGTGTGGTACAGGTAAAGATATTGGTAAATGTAATGATTTGTATCATTATCATAACTGAAAGCTTTGATTTTATTGAAATTTCAGGAGAAAGAATCTGAATTGAATGAGCTAAGGGAGAAGTTGGGACAGCAGGAGATCTCTACCAGAACACTGGGAGATCAGATGAGACAGGAGGCACAGGAACAAGTATGAACACCATCATAGAGATCCAAACTTCATGCATAAATCAGGAGGCACACTTTATGCACAAATTACACATAATACACTTGCATAATATGAATTTTTCATATATTTCTCATATAACATGCTCATTTTTGTCCTCACTCACAAAGCGCAGACATATTTTATACATAGCTCACACATATTTCGATTTACAAAACATTTTTCCCCCTTAAGTCCAATGATAAACACAATCACTGTAAGAAAGCAGACAGTTTATTGTTTATCTCATTATTATCTCAATTTTTCAGTCAGACTTAATTTTTTATATTCGTAACTTATCTTTCTTGTCTTTCACATCATAAGAAACAGAGAATCTTTACCCCATGGTATCACCTTCAATGGTTTTTCACTATTTTACCATCAATATGGAATGCTCCCTGGGGAGTGAAGAATGTGCGTACATTTTGTGTGGGTAAGCCAGAATCCGATGACCAGGGTAATATATAATATATCTGTAAAGCGCTTAGACACATCGTTGTATCGATGTATTGGGCGATATATAAAAGGAGAATATTATCCTTATTATTATTATTAATATTGATGTTTCCCTTTAACTTCAGATCCAGAAAGCCTTAGAGGAGCAGAAAGCCATCTTCGAGACAGAGTCAGAGAAAGAGAGACAAAGGGAAGCACTGGCCAAAGAGGATGCGGTTGCTATAGAAACCAAGCAGCTCAAAGAAGAGCTTAAGAGAGAGAAGCAGCTGAGAGGCACTCTCAAGACAAGCCATAGTAATATGAAAGAGGTAAATAAGATCAGAAATTATAAATGCCAGTATTCCATATGTATTCTGGTAGTTTTGTTTTTTATCATTATTCATCGGTTGTTATCATTCATTAGGATTCTTTGACTGCTGTCAGGTATGTAATGTGAAAGAAGAAAAATCTAAGGAAAAGATGCATCGTTACGATTGGCATATGAAATATATTGTTGTAAAGAGTTTTATTTTACATAAGTAATTTTTGTGCCTAGATCACTGCTATGATAGTACACAGTATGGCAAGAAAATGTTCCATTCAATTCATAAACCAGTATATCTCCACCCAAAAAATGGATATGTAATTTAACAATTTTCATCAAAAGGTTTCTCATCTTCATCATAGCCAAATGGATATAAAAGAGGTTTACACTGAGGCAACACAATTGTTTTAAAATCATTTTTAATGCTTTAGTTTCTTTCTTTAAAACCTCTCCATGAATTTAAAACGGGTCTTTACATAATTAAAGCTCATAATTCTATACACAGTAAGTTCATTTTTGTTGATATTATTTTTTCATGAAGGAATTGGAGAAGTTACGAGATGAGAACCTAGCCGCTGGTAGAGAGAAAGTAGAAGCCGTCTCAAAGGCAAGAGAGGAGGCTAGGCAGGAAATACAAACTCAGTTAGACCAGATACGAGATCAAATGGCACAGGTAATTAGACTTTTATAATTTTAGGATCATTTTCAATTGAATTTGACACTACATGTTGGTCTATGTTCTGCTTAACAAAGACAACTTTAGACTTGGGTCTTTACCTTAATAAACTTGGCTTGAGAAAAAGTGGATAAGAGATACGTGTACATAGCACAGGTAATTAGACCTGACCTACCAAGAACATGGATATTATTCATATTGGTTAAACTAATTTTTATTTTATATAGTCACAGATTTCTTGTTATAAGTTGGTATAAGTTAAAGTGTGGCGCAACAAATTTCCTTTCTTTATCTGATATTTGGATGCCTGTATCAGAATAGACCACGTTCATCTTGTGAAAGTTCACTCTGAAATGCCTCTGTTCTTGAGAAGTCGTGTCTCTAGTGCTGATATTTAAAGATTTAGGGCAAATTACTATTTGGAAACATGTATTGGTATATAATAGCAAAAGTAACAATAGTCATATTTTGTATAGCATGATACTATACATAGTAGTTATAATGTGACTATTATGTAATGGGAGATTTAATTTCGATTCCAACACTAGACATATATGATAGGCGAATAAGGCTCTTAATCTTCATTAAACCTTTGTTGACTCCATCTGGTCACTTGCCAAGGCTGGAGTGTCTTAATAGGGTTTATAGTCCAGTATTAATAGCCTATACCTGTCATTACTAGACCATTAAAAGGCCCATTACTACCTACCTATGACTTGGTCATAAATCACACTCCGTAGAAGATGCCCAAACTTGAACTTTGAAGCATTTAAAAAAAAACATTGTATAAACTTTAGTGTTTTTTAAATATAAATCTGCATATTCACGCTATACAGCCCAAGGAAATATGACTGAACAAGTCACCTTTCTGTATAAGTATTGTCTAAAGTGAGCCAGGACAAATGTAAGGACAGGGAAATTTTTCTATGAAATACTCTTTTTTTTCTTCTTCTCTCCATAAAGTTGTGATAGATAGCTGTACCATAATTTCATTGAAGCAGATTTATTAGTGCAGCGAGGCAAATTTTCAAATCTTTAGAGATATATTGCAGTTTTTACCATCTAATGGAATCGTTTTGTAGTAAGTTAACCTGTAAGTTAACATATTTAAAAGATTCTTAAGCATCATCTTTTTAAAGACTGCTTTAATGTGAAACGCCTCTTTGAAATAAAGCAATATTTAAACACAATATAGTTTTGTAAAGACATTTTTATTAGTTTTGCAGCTAAAATGTTGAAATATAGGTCTAGGATAACTTTTTGATGTGTGTGGATGTGTCTTTCTGAGTATGAATGGTTCTATCTTATGTAACAAAGGAAAATGAATAGGATTTCTTTTTTTAGCAACAACAAATTAGATTCATAATTTGGGAATAATTGATTGATGTAATATGGAAATGCACCCCAATCTTATAAAAGTGAAACATCTGGCAATTGAATATCTTGAATATTTCTCTCAGACTAAATGGATGAGCAAGCTCAGAGACCATATGGCATGCAATACATGTATGAACAGATGCCCACTCCTTATTTACTCTTGATAAAGTGTAGGCACTTCACTGATGGAGTGTAAACACAATCATAGTGTATGGAAGGGACTTACCAAATAGGCTTATCTTGAAGTGTCCAGATTAAACGCTGTCCCTTTATAGCAGTTAATGGAGATTTAAGTTTACTTTGGAAGTCAAATGATCATGAACTCTGGTTCCAGGATGCAATTATATTATATGGCCGGATATTTTGTTGTTTTGACATCTTGTTAGAAGGCATATAAGTTCACACAGTCAGTTTATTAGGATCGTATTTTCTTCATATTAGTGGCACTCACTGCACTTTTATATTGGAGTCATATGATTTATGCTTCACTTTGTTCTGAATTACTGACAAGACCTAGGGATACGTTTGTAGACTTTGACTTTTGCACAAAGTGGACATTCCGTCTACTGCTGTCAATTCAACTATAATCATACACTGACCTGACTGGACATGGATTTCCAACACTGCTGGATAATGATTGTTGTATTGTAGGAGGCTTATCTCTTGCCCATTTTAATGGAATCTGATTGCTACCATTATTGATTTATTGATCTGTATTCTTTCTGCGAGTGATCGTGAATAAAGAGGATTAAGAGCCTAAAGCTGACGGAGCATGTGAATAAGTCTAAATGCCTTCATGTCTGTGATGTGATCCATTATTGGAGCCAGACTTTGTATGTTACCGATTGCACAGATGCTCAAACACTCCACAAGTGTTGGGAGATGTTGTAAAGAATTGGAATAGTTTGATCTACAAAAAAGTTGGGATGGGAAGCAAGGAGGATTTTCTTCATATCATAGTGGTGGCAGTACAAGCAATAAAGGTATGGGAAACTGTGGCTCAGTGGTTTGCATTATGAGCTTTACAATGAGAGGGTTTGGGATTCCTTGATTTGATTTGATAATTTTTTTTTTTTTAAACATTGGAATTAAATGTTGATACTTATAGAATTTGAAAATAAAACAAATTATATAGAAAATCCCTGTGAAGCAATTGAAAATGTATATGTAAAAGAAAATAAGTGTGTCCTTTTAATTAGAGAGCTAAAGTTTTAGATGAGAAAACAATTTTGTAGAGGCTATTTTTATGTTGGTGTAGCATTATTATTATTATTGGTAGTATTTTTGTTTAATTGTTGTTATTATCAATACCGGTATTGTTGTTGTTGGTATCATCAGTATTCATCACAATCCATATTATTATTATCATGATTTTTTTTCTAGGAGAAAACAAGAGAGACAGAGAAGCTCCAGCAGAAGCTCAAGCAGCAAGATGAGGAGTTGACCCAGCTCAGGTCAGAGGTCAAGGGTTACCGTCAGAAGCAACGGGATTCCTCGTCCAGTCAGAGCAGCTTTGACCAGAGCTACAGGAGTATCGTCATGGAGCTGAATGAGGAGTGTCGGAAGACATCCAATCTGGTGGGGTCCACTCCTCGTAAAGTTCCACTTTTCAGGTAGATGTTATTTCTTAAAATGGAAGTCCACCCTGATATTAAGTTGACTTTAATAAAAGCAGAATAATTAAAGACACAAATAAGTGAAAGTTTAAACAATATTCTATTAAAAATATTGTTATATTATATACCGGTAGTAAGTTATATTCTCACTGACCCAACATTTGCTTTAATCTTTATTTCACAAACAATGCAGGTTTAAGGGTTAAATTTGCAGGTGATATTTATGTTAGGATTAGGTAAAGGTTAGAGTTAAGTGTAGTATAAGTGAGCAATTGAGTTATTGGAAAGTATTGATAATGGAGCGAATGTTGGCAAAGTGTCAAAGAACTATCTTCTGTTACCCCTAATTGCCTGAGTTAACCCTTTACTTACTGGAACTGGGGGTTCCTGTATTAATCCTATGGAAGTAAGAGAATGGTTAATGGGTTAATAAGCACAGCCAAAAAGGCAGCAATGAAGCTACAGAACCCCACCATTTAGATGTGAGAGCTTGTGCATACAAAAAATTATGTTTGTTCATTTTGCCTCAGCAGACTTCACCCAACCTGTCCATAAACATAACAAAATACATACTACCCCAAGCCTTTACAATGATATATTTCATGATTATCAACAACGGCAGCAAATTATTCTTCTGGAGCAGATATTGACATGAGTGCTCCAATTCCTAAAGCCCTGGTGATATTTTGCATTGAATATACATGTCCATGTCAACATTTCACTTATAGCTCCAGGAATATGAAGGCCGACTCACCATCCCAGACTGGGTCTTCAAAGCAAGCATCATTCAACAGCCCCGGTCGTACCCAGCTCATGGCTGCCATCTCAAACCTCAAAGCTACCAACGATGACCTCAGGAACTACATCAAGTCACTACGAGATGACGTGGAGAAACAGAGACGAGCCACCACTAGGGCTAACAGAGAGAAGGTAAGATTATATTGTGTTTTTATCAGTCTTTTGTGATATCTTTAACTAATGTATACTCAGAAATACTCAGAGGAACTTTTTTAAACAAGGCCACCATAGGGCTTTTCCTTTTTTCTCCTATTTCATTTGAAGTTATTTGTATAAACTGAACATTCTCTGCCTTAGTATGTATATATACTTGTCTGTTTATTTGCTTTTGCTGTGTTTTTTATAAAAATGAAATGAATAAACAAACTGAACTAAACTGAAGAATGAGTGCATGAAATGAAGAAACTTGATGATGTTTGGTATTGGTAATAAGAGGATATAGCGATTATTCAATAAAAAAGTCACTAAGTTGTGATCTCTGATGGAGATGTTTTGACAATATACAATGTAATACACTAGGAATATCTCACAAGGACATGATGTAATAACATACATGTAGCTATATTTTGGCATGGCTCATATTGAGCACTTTTCTATCAGTTATATATAGTATAGTGATATTTTCACCATGTTCTATAATCCTCTTTTTTTCTCACTCTCTGTCTTTCTCTCATTTTCTCTCTCTTTCTCTCTCTCTCTCTCTTTCTCTGTTTCTCTCTATCTGTCTCTCTGTTCTACTTTCTCTCTTTCTTTATTCATCCACTTCTCACTCATGCTCATTCTCTCCTTTGTTTTTTTCTATTTATTGTAACTCTTACTTTTCTCCCTCTCTCCCTTCTCCTACTCAGGATAATGAAGTGAAGAAGCTGGTAGAATCCATGGGGAGAGAAAAGGCTCAAGTTTTTGAAGGTGTAAGTATTATTTCTCTTTCTTTTAAGACCCTGAGCACAGCAGTATGAAAATCCTTTTCCCACAAAAGTCACTCCAAAGTGGGTCTCCTCTGGTATCTATGTCAGATAAATCATGAAACATGGCATTTTTCAATAAAAATGCTTTGTCTGTTGTCAGCTAAATTCTCTGCCACTCATTAAAGATTCAGTTGATTTCCCCATGATCACTAATAGAGAGTGTACTGTTTGAACAAGCTAGCTGCTGAACTAAGACTAAAAAGTAATTAATAACATCTATTTAAAAACAACTTTTTACCTATTTGCTCCTTTGTCAGATTTGTGGCCTATTGTTGGTTTTGAGTAGGTGGATTACGTGTGATACAAATTTAAGATTAACTATTTTATTGACCCCAGGAGAGAGACATCGAGCTGGACCGGCTCCATCGCTCAGTGAGTCTCCTCCAGGACTCTGAGAACAGTCTCCAGCAGGACGTGATGAACAAAGACGAGGAGCTGCGTCAGATCCAATCCAATATGGCCGCCTGGAAGGAGGAGACTGCCCTCAAGATGGCGAGGAAGTTTGAAGATGAACTCAACAAAGAGCTCGAAGTGTAAGCTTCTTTGCTTTTAAAGCTCCACTGCACTACTTATAGCTACTTGTGCCCTCTATATAGCAAACAATCCCTAATCGGTACCTGTTGGTCCCCCATGATCCTCTTTTTTTATGTTAATTGAGAGCTGATTTGATGAGATAACCACCTGCCAGTGACCTTGCAGGGAGGTCTAATAGCCCTGGCCAAACTATACAGACAGGCTTTAAACGTTATGTTAGGTAAATTTTGCTTTTGAAAATATACTCCACTTTTGAAAATTCGTGCTGTAAATCATTGCAAATGGTAAAAGGAAGTGGATGTCTTGCTCATGGAATTCTTTAAATTAACTTCTCTACTATTTTAAAGTGACTTATAGGGTGGTATAAAAGATCTATTCTATTCATTATTGGAAATCAAAATTAAATCTCCCTATTCAAACATTGATCACTTTTCTTAAAAATTCTTCTCAGATGTTTTGTCCTCTATATTTAACCAAATGGATAAGCAATACAACTTTTTTTTTTTAGACCATGCGAAAATATTCAATAGATTCATATGTACACGTTTGAGTAATTTCTTATTTAGAAATTTATTTCCAATTCCTATTTGCAGGAGACTTGAGGAATCGCACAGTGGCAGTGGGTCATTCAGAAGCAACCATTCCGATTCAAGAATGAGGAATTCAGCAGTAAGTTCATTAATATCATTAATTCAATCCTATTAGTTATGACACAAAAAGTAGGTGTTAGAAAGATGCCTACTTGGATGCTGTCTCTTTACAGTAATATATATGTATTCAAGTATTCAATTTATTTCACATCACTTTAAAAACACATCAAAAGATATACAAACAAATCAGATCATTAAATTAAAACAATATAAATATATACAAAAAAAAAACATTCATTTACATTGTACTGATGAAAGAAGGATGAAGGGTGGAGGATGTGAGGGATCAACAAAGGCCATTGGCCTGTCAAGGTTGATCCCCTATATTTCCACCCTTCAAAAGAAATACATTATACAAAATATAAAAAATAAAAACAATCAAACAAACAGATAATATAACATAGCATAATCACATAAAAACACAACATAATTATTTACATAAATCACATAAAAGACAATTAGATCAAATAAAACTACTCACGATTAAGAAGATAACATTTATATTTTTTCCTGAATGTAAAAACAGTGGATATTTCATTTAATACGTTTGGCAACTCATTCCAAAGCTGTGGGCCTTTAAAACTTACTGTAGTTCTTGAAAAGTTAAAAATATAAAAAGGTACATACATTTTATTGGAATTTCTTGTTTTATATTTATTGATGTTGCAATTATATTCGAAATATGTTGAAAATGTGTTGAATACACTAAAAATCTTGTATAACACTGTGCTTCAAGTTGTCTTGGTTTCCCCTAATATATCAAAATAGATATACATGTATGCACCATTTAGGATATAATCACAGGAATATAATTAAAAATTAGTTTGTTAGCTATTTTTCTTTTTTTGACAGTTCACCTATACCAAGCTTGTAGAATACATTTACTTGAATTTGATTTTGATTTGCATATACAAGTACTATTCGATATTTCCCATTTATTTACTTCTTGTAGCTTAAAGCCCCATTGCACTTGTTTGGCCAGGAGGGATTATACCTCCCTGCATGGTCTCACTTAGAGGTGGTTATCTCATCAAATCAGCTCTCAATTAACATAAGAAAAAGGGGATCATTGGGGACCAATGATTACCGATTAGGCATTGTTTGCTATATAGAGGGCGCAAGTAGCTATAAGTAGTGCAGTAGGGCTTTAATGGGACCTCATCAATAGGATCCATTGAGACTTTGGGATGCATTTCGGACGATAGAAATTCAGTTCAATTTATTGTCTTCTTAGAGCACCGAACACAGACCCAACATCTACGGTGTCTGTTGAGACTTTGGTATGGGCCTGTCACAAAAAAATCTGAATATGTTTTCCTTTTATCTTCTTATTGAAGCTCGCCACATCAACACCATCATCTGCTGGATCAGGTGAGACCGGTACCAACAAACTCCTCCGCCACCTTCAAGACCGGGTCAAGCAGCTCAGGAGTGAGAACACCAGTATCAAGCAAGCCAGTAGACTGGATAACAGTTTAGAGGGTGGAGATTCAAGCTTCCAGAAAAGTCTACAGGTGAGCGAAGGGATGGGTGTGTTCATATAAAAGAGAATGTATGATTAGAGTATGCTAGAGTATGATGGTTGTAAAAGCTTTCAGAAAAGCCTGGATTGCTGATACAAGCTCAGCTCATCAAAAATAACAGTGATAGGCATGTTTATGTAGGAGAAAACTATACCTTTTTTACTCAATTGTATGGTAGCGCATGAGTTATATTTACATTATTTGAGAAGTATATCAGGTATGATAAATATCTCTTCTCATCCCTTCATCTTCCTCCCCTCTCTTCCACATTGTCTTTTTCAATATTTGCCTTTTTTCTGTCTGTCTCTATTTCTTTCCATTTGTCAATGTTTATGAATCCCTAATTCTTCCTCATTATGCCCTTTATCCTCCATGTCACCCTTTCTCTTTTTCACATTTTCTGTTCCCTTTCTCTGTCCACCTGAGCACCTCTTTCAATTCCTCCCTTTCCCTTCTACCAACACCTCTTTCCATTCTCTTCTTTCCACTATCTTATCTAAATTTATCGCTCTCTTTCCACTTTTCATTCTCTCATCATGCTTTTAACTTCCCATTTTCCTTCTCTGCTACCTCTTCCCTTCTCTCCCACCTTCTTCCTCTCCATTCTCCCACCCTTCCGTCTCCTCCTTCCCTCTCTCAACACCCCCTTCCCTCTCTCAACACCCCCTTCCCTTACTCCCCTCTCTCTCTCTCTCTTTTTCTCTCTTTCTCTCTCTCCCTCTGTTTGTCTCTCTCTCTCTCTCTCTCTCTGTCACTCTATCTCTCTACTTCTTCTCTTCATCCTTTCCTCTCTTCAGCTGGAAGAGAAAGACCAGCATCTCTACCGTCTGGATCAGAAAGTCAAGCTGCTGGAGCGCCAGCTCTGGGTAGCTGAGGAGAGATGTAGGGAGAATGCTGCCCTCTATAGTCAGAAGACAGCAGAGAATACCAGACTGGAAGGGGCTCTCACTCAACAGACAAAGGTAAAACCTAGCTCTTGTATTCTTTTCATTGAAAACTAGGGCACTTTTACAAGAAGCGGAAATCAGAAAATACAGTAAAGTTCTATTTACAATAATGCAGATTTAATGATTCAGTACATTCATGTGGTCAATCTAAATGAAAGCTAACAGCAGGATTCATTAGTTGTGTTTGGCCTTCCTTGAATAGTGTGAATATAGTGAATCAAGATCATTAACTTTAATTAGTTTGATGTATGTGTAACTCGATGCTTTATTTTATAATTGGGGTAGTGAAGATTATACATGGTTTCATGATTGAGTAGGGATTACCATGAATAAATGATCCATGTGTGGCTTCACTGGTCTCTTGTTTGTCTTCACTCCTAAAGTTAAACATGTAGGCTAATTATCCTCGGATTAGTTGATCAAGAGTACATACAATTTTATTATTTTACAATAAACTTTTTTTTCCTAGGAACTTATGAAGGTGGAACGAGCCTATACCAAACTTTCACACTCTACACCGACGTCACCCGTGCCTTAAGCCTTGTTCACACATGACAAGGTCAACCGCCTAAAAAAAAAAAAGACAAAAAAACTATGGCAAAATAAACCACATTAGGCATGACTGAAGTGCAAATGGGGCTAAAACAATGTTGAAAAGATGATTGGTACTACAAAATCGGAGAATCGTGTTGAAAAGAGCAATACTTAAGCTTTTCGTCTTGCACTCATCAAACAAAAGTAAAAACGCTTTAAAATGGGGCATACAACAAAGTCCTCTAAGCATACCCACTTATCTGTGTGTGGAAGATACAAAAATGTGTAGGGTGCTACCACTATGCCAGTCTATTTTGCTGTGGCAGTTTTGAGTAGGCGATGTACCACGTCCTTTGTTAACAAGGCCTTAGCCACTGACAGTTGTCTACACACCAAGCCTAGTCCAGCCTAGTCCAGCCTAGTCCAGCCTAGTCCAGCCACGTCCAGCCAAGCTCAGCCTACTGATGATTCATCAACAGAACAATTTCACGCCTTCATGCACTGCCAACTATTCAATACAAATATATCAGGGATTATCAAAATACCAATGTAGATATTACAGATCAAGTTTGCATCTGTATAAATACTGAACAAATATATGGTCTGTTTGGAACCAGAAGGGCGTTAAATCTGAAGGATATGATATGGGTTTATGCCCTTGTAGCTCTGAACAGACATTGTTGTCATGGAAATTGACCTTTGAAGCTTGTAGTATGAAGAAATATGCACATCTCTCACTGAATTAATATATCTTTTGTTTACAAACAATGCATATAAAGTTTCATGGCTGTCTTTAGCTGAGCACAAACTAGCTGTTATTGCATTTTGTTTTCTCTTCAGAATATTATATTTGAAAACTGATTTTGTCAATGAATCTGTTTTGTTTGTAGAATCAAATGATTATTAATCTTAGTTATAAAAGTTAACTAGTTAGTTGAACTTGATCTTCACAAACTCTGAAAATTCTAGTTTAAAACTTTATAAATCTGAAGGTGCAAATCATGTTTTTTCTTTTTCTTGTGAACTTAAATCAATGATTAAGCTAGTAGCATAAACTTGCCCTGGCAGGTACAAAGAAAGATATATATATATATTTTGTTTAACTTGGATGTTTTTATTGATCTATCAATAAATACATATATATCCTATTCATCTACTGTTACACTTCTTATAATGGGTACCTGGCTATGTTTCCATCAGGTGCAAAATTGTTTTAATGGATGCAATTCAGGACTATGTTAATCAATTGTTTCCTTTTTCCTAAAAGGGTCTAAATGTGACCTTTCTGAGTGTACATGCTAGTACAAAAGATGTATTACTATATGCTCACTGAGTAGTCTGTTCTAATGAAACATAATGTATGCATGGACAGTACTCAAGCTTTGATAAGTTTCATCTTCTTTATCTAACAATTCTTACATTTTTTTAAATTATGAGGTGCTTTAGCTTACAAATGATATCTTATGCATATCATGCTCTTATTGAAACTATTGATTTCATTATCATTTTATAAATTAAATAATGTTTTTCTTGTATATTCTCTTTGATTTTCTTTATATTACTTGAAACATCAGAAATTGATGATATATATATATATATATATATATATATATATATGTCATGTCAAGTTGTTTGTACATGTTTTAAAAGCAATCTCTAAAAAATTAAATATTTGTAATATTTGAAGTCCCAAAGTGCCATGTAAACACAAGAAACAATTCAAATTTGAACGACTTGTTTATCTCTAGTGTGATGATGCTCTTTCAAAAGACTGATTGTATGATGTTGTTGTGCCTTTTCTATTGTATTTTGAGAAAAGATATATCAAAAACAAAGTTTTTCTGTTATTGTTTGAGTTTTGTCTTAATTCAATAATAACAACTCATTTCTTTCAGCTCAAATGTGTGTCAATATATATATGGTAGATCTTATATGCAGTATCAATATTACATATAGTGTTCATCTGTAGACAACTCTATACTTTCAATCATTTCGATAACAATCATGATAATTTGAAATATCTTTAGCTTTTTGTGTATTTTGTGTGTGTGATTGTTCTCAATATTTATTGTTATATTTTGCAAGATGTTACATCAAGAGATTTAACAATGAAATTTAACTCTATTCATATGACAAAAGCACAATTTAATATATTTGTTTTTTCAAATATGCCACTTAAGTTTTGTTTGTGTAAATTGCAAGTAATGATTATTCTTTAATTTCTCAATGTGGATTTCTGCTCGCTTTTTACATCAGACAAAAAATGCTGTGACTATACATAGCACTTTTGGTGCCTTTATTTATTACAAATGAAATCAGACAATTTGCAAAGTGTGATTACATTTACAATCAATGGTGTAATTGTTGTACAAAGGTCAGAGACTAAGTATTGGTTTTATATCACTGTTGGTATTTTGATGAATATTGCAAATGTGAAATAAGAAAAAAGTGTGCTATATACTATTTATATATTTAAAAAATAATTGATTTATTGATTCAATAATTTTAATCATGATAATTCAATTCGTTAATTTAAATTTTTTCAAACGATTGTGTACATTTGTAGGTTATGATATTTCCATATTATTTGGAGAGAGTTTATATGGAAACATTAGATTATTGCACACAAAAAGCCATATCATTTATGGCTTGCAAATAAATCACAGTGTAGTATATAGACTTTGATTGACAATTATATGATCAAAATTGAATTGTGTGAGCAGTGTTGTATTTGAAATCAGACATTCCCATGTGTTCATAGAGTAATAAATTGCCAGGAACAACAATATGAAATATACTTTTGTTCAGAGTTACTTCTTTTCAGCGGTTTTAATGTGTGATTTCATTGAATGAGGTTAATGCTCCACATGAGTGGGTTCTTGATAAGTGCTGATGTACTTTTCACCATTCACCGCTGGTCTTTTATTGTGGTTTTCTGCAAATTTATGGTTGAAAAATTGAAAAGTGCATAAAGCTGCAGGCGCTTTTATTGTGCAATTATGATGTTTGTGTGAAGATTTGTTGGCAGTATTTGATTTTTTCAGATGATGTTTTAGGTGATTGTGATATTTGGAAATACAGATAAAGAAATGACGGTGTCACCATTGGACCATCAATTGCAGATTAAGGGGGGGGGGGGGGGGGGGGGGGACACAAACAACTCATGACCTCCCCACCCCTTTTTAAAACTCTTGACACCTATCTTTACACCACCCAAAGATGTCCCTCCCTTAAGAGTTTGGAGCTAAATATGTACCTGAAAGTCTAAAGTGACACTAACTAACATTTGATGACCTTCTCATTTCTTTCCATTTTTGTTGCAAACTTTTTAAAATTGTGTCCACCCCCCCCCCCCCCCCCCCCCCCCGCTTTAAATTAAAAATACAAAATCATGGATCAGTTCGAGAAAGTATAGAATGTAATGGTGAATCTTTAAAGCTCAAGTCCATTTAGACATCAAATTGATCATAACCAAAGCACTAAAAACAACCAGAACAAGTCAGAGAGAGTTTAGAGAAAATATGATTAAAGATTAAAAACTGATAAGTGTCTAAATCATGAAGGCTATGACACGAATGAACATTAAATTTGTATAGCATAATAATTACACTTATTCTCTATGCAAATGGGAACTTCCTTTAGAATCCACTTTCTTTTTGTTTTTATACACAACTGGATTTCTATTTTCCCCAAGAAAATTTGTTTTCATACCTGTGCCCAAAATAATTTTTGGAAACATCATATTTCAAACCTTGATCCTTAAAGAGGGTTATTTGATTGATTTTGTGAATAAAATAATCAGAGCAAAACAGATAAAAAATAACATTAAAGGGACTTGGTAACATTGTTCAGATGAGAGAAAGTGGTGCTGAGGTAGTAACTTCAATGCTAGATGTACAATTAAAGATAATCTGAATGTTTGAGTGAAAACAGACCATTATTGATGATAAAAATTGGGGAAAACTGATCTGATCGATTCCTTAATTCTCCCAGCTATATTATTACAATTTAATTACATTTAAGGTGAATGTAAATTGTCATAAAGCAATGAATTGGCTCTATATTCCATTCCAGACATTTAAGTGTTGAAAGATGTTTATAAGCCTGCCTTATGTATTTTTTTCATGTGGAAACGGTTGGGAAAATTCCAAAATGGTTGGGAGAATTTACTGTTAATCACTGTTAGAGGGTGTTGCACAGTGACGCCTTCAAAGAAATCCATAGATTATCTTTGTGGTTTGAGAATTTTTTCAAGATTTTTTGCATGTTAGAGGGTTAGTACAGTAGAAGGAATATGATAAGTAACATTTCATAAAAAAATAACACAATTTTTTTCATCAACCTTCAACAATGTTACCGAGTCACTTTAATTTGAAACATTCAGTACAGAAATTCTAAAGAATAGAGTTGGCTCAAATAATTAGCCTCTGTCTTAATTTCTGTTATTGGTATTGTTGTGATTAGTATTGTTGGGTCTATAATGGGAATCAGGAGGGGGTGATGGATAGACAGTGAAGTGATAAAGAATTATCCTTCACACCCCCCCCCCTTCTCTCTCTCTCTCTCTCTCTCTCTCTCTCTCTCTCCCTCTCACCCTTTCTCTCTCTCTCTCTCTCCCCTCACCTTTTCTCTCCCCATCTATCTTTTCCATTTCTATCTCTCTCTCTCTCTCTCTGTCTGTCTGTCTCTCCCTCTCATTATCTCCCTCTCTCCCTCTCACCCTTTTCACTTATCTACCCCCCCCCCTTCTCTCTCACCCTCTCTTGCTCTCTCTCGCTCTCCTCTTCACAATCACAAAACAATATACTGTTTTAATAGCATAGTCTCCATGCTGAGGCTATGTCCTAGATTAAAAGTCAGTGTGCCCTTTCATAACTAGACATTAGGCCTAACAACCAAATTCAAAGTCCCTCAGCTAGGACTTAAAGTGGTGGAATCAATTGAGAAGGGGGGAGGGTATGGAGGGAGTGGGGGGGGGGGGGGGGGGCTACAGCCAATTAGACCGACAATGACAGTTTCGTGGGTCTTCTGGGAGT